CGTTGGCTGAGTTCTCCTATAACAATAACTATCATGCGAGTATCGACCATCCTCCCTTCAAAATGTTGTATGGGAGAAAGTGCAGGACCCCGATATGTTGGGGAGAGGTTGGGCAAAGAGTCATGGGGAGTACCGAAGTGGTACTCAAGACTACGGATAAGATCAAGCAGGTTCGGAGCAGGCTTTAGACTGCTCAAAGTCGGCAGAAAAGCTATGCTGACAAGCGACGGTCGGACCTAGAGTTCTAGGTCGGGGATATGGTACTCTTGAAGGTGTCTCCATAGAAGGGCGTCATTCGATTCAGGAAACGGGGCAAGCTGGGCCCCAGGTATATTGGACCCTTCAGGGTTACATCCTGGGTGGGCAAGGTGGCATATATGCTAGATCTGCCAGCCAAACTCAGTTTAATTCATAGCACCTTTCACATCTCCCAGTTACGGAAATGTTTGGTGGATGATTTAGCAGTGGTGCCTTTAGAGGATATTTAGGTTGATGATAGTCCGAACTACATCGAGCAACTAGTGACAATCCTTGACCGGAATTCAAGGGATCTGAGAAACAAGAGGGTGGAACTGGTAAAGGTGCAGTGGCAGCACCGCAAGGGCTCGGAATAGACGTGGGAGTTGGAGGATGATATGAGGGAGCATTACCCCGAGTTTTTTCAGGATTAAGCAGCAGACTTCGAAGACGAAGTCTAGAATAAGCGGGGGAGATTTGTAACACCTAATTCCCGCTACACATTTACTTTAAGCATTTTTGTATTTTCTTTGGGACTCGACGAGTTGGTGGCCCAACCTGTCGAGTAGGGTCGTGATCCGTGGGCATTTTAAGTGACCTACTCGACGAGTCGGGAGATTGAATCGGTGAGTAGGTGCTGTTTGAGGGAAACCCTAAATTTGAGGGTTTGCACCCAATTTAAACGACTTAACTCAGCCTCCCTCATCCCTATCTCTCACAAGAAGCTGTATAGCAAAACCCTAACCGTTTTTATGTGATCTAAGGCCATTTTGGTGCTTTTAGGTGGTTTGTGAATCTTGAAAGGAAGGAAGAAGCTTGGGAATTCGAGTTCGAGCTTGTAGATCCAGAGATCTTATTCCATCTTCAGCTCAATCAAGGTAATTGCCCCTGTTTTGGTCTTCCATTTGGTTGTTCATCTTTAGGGCTTAGATTTTGGGTGCATTTAGGGTTTCCCAAGCCATTTTCGGATTCATTCAGTGATTTATGGGGTTCTACTTTCAGATCTGAGTCATTGGAGGGGTCTCATGGCATAAAGGTGCCAACTTTATGGTCATGAGAGCCCCATGCACATTGTAGAGCACCTTTTATGGATTTTTGAGCCAAAAACCCCATGCATGTGCACCAAGTTTGGAACTTTACGTATAAAACGGACATTAGGAGTCCAGATCCATGTTTTTGATGTGTTAAGACCCATTTAAATCGGCTGTATAGTAAGGTTCAAGAAGGGACTCGACAAGTTGTTCTTGGAACTCGGCGAGTCGGTGTGTATTGACCACTAAATCCTTTTTGTGGATGGACCAGTTGTTTGGGAAGAAAGTCCCATAGATGCTTAGACACGTAAAGGGACCTGGGAATCATGGGACTTGGCGAGTGTATGAATAGACTCGGCAAGTCCAAGGTAATCTCCCAACCGTTGAAGATGGACTCGATGAGTTGTTCATACAACTCAGCGAGTCATAGAATGGACACGTTTTTATGAGGGAGATGAACTCGCCGAGTTGAAGGAAGAACTCGGCGAGTCAGATGAAGATGGTCCTGATGGTTCGAATGAAGGAGAACTCGACGAGTTCTTTCTAGACTCGACGAGTGGATTCGGGGTTGGATCAGGTTAATGGAGCATGGACTCGACGAGTTGGTAGACTAACTCTGCGAGTCAGGTCAACTAGGTGTTGAGTTTGATTGGTTATGGTATTGATCCTGGTTAGGGTCATATGTTCTGTTTGATGACTTGAGGATTGTCGTGTAGGGATTGAGGAGTCGAGGAGAGTCGATCTTCGCACAAAGGACGGTTCAGACACTACATGACATCGATGTGAGTTACCTTCCAGTAGGGGTGGGTCTAAGGCCATCGATGTCGACCCACCAACAGGGGTATTTAGTAGATAAATGTCTTTGTGATAATTATCTTGGTTTGGTTATGTGAAATGGTCATGAGATGTGCCTGCATGATATAATATATGTATCAGTGGTAGTGACAGGGAATAGTCTTTCCTTGGCATAGTCGTTAGGACCAAGGGATAGGTCAGTACCCCGATATGCATGATTGTATGCTAGTGGTAGGGGGTGAAATAGTCCCCGATTACCGGTTGAAAGATACCGATGATAGTTACCGGTTGAAAGATACTGATGGTGGTTACCGGTTGAAAGATACCGATGATAGTTACCGATTGAAAGATATCGATGACAGTTACCGGTAGAAAGATACCGACGATATTATATGGTATGCGGTATGATGGAGGAACTCACTAAGCTTTGTGCTTACAGTTTTTGTTTTTGGTTTCAGGTACCTCTTCGTCGAAGGGGAAGGAGTCGGCGGTGTAGCAGTGCATCGCACACACACATGGTTTCCGCTTTGGGTTTCTAGGATTGTGTTATGATTTTTCATTACTTTTGATGTTATGATTTTGAGACATGACACTACAGTTTTATGTATTGATATAATTTTAGCAATGTCTTGATAAGTTATTTTATAAACCACTTAATTAAAAATGAAAATTTTAGCCTTGATTTTTGGGATGTTACATGTAATATACTAATGAACATATGTCTCGCTACTCCCTAGTGTTGATATGTCCGATTCTGGGGTAGATCAGAATTACTTGGTGAAGAAGTATTTTAAAAATCTTATCTGATATGTTCCTTATTTATCATATTTGTATTTATCTTACAAGATTCAATCCTTTCAATTCAAGGATTTGATTTAATCAGAAGATCTTGAGAATCTACAGAATTCTTATCTCCTATCTTTTTGATGGGTTGTTACGTTTTTCTAGGTTTTTAAATAAAATGTCTAAATCAGACATTTTATTGAACAACAATAACATTAAACACTTTGAAATAGACATTTCAGATATAAATGATGATATATTTAAAAAAATGCTCGAGAAGTTGAGGATAAACTAGAAATGGAGCATTCAAAATAAAACATTCTTTTAAAAAAACAAAGAAAAAAAACTTCTGAATATAAATAATATTCCGAAATGAAGCATTAAGAAGAAAATGACATTTATATAAGTTAGTATACTTAATTTCCCTTTTTCTTTTTCTTTTTGTTCTTTTAATTTTCTATTTGTTTTTAGCTGGAGTTTTCCAATAAAGTTCATATATTTACAGTGTCAGTTTTCAAAAGGTGAGATAATGCTTAATTTGAACATATTAAGTAGATAAATCAAGTATTTAAGTATTAGCTTAATCCTTCGGACCTGGCTCCGTCACAATCTATGTATTTAGTTGTTTAAAAGCTGGACAAAAAATCTAAATTGTACAAGAACTAGTGTTTACGTATTTTTCTAAAGTATTTTACGATATAAAAAACATACTTTATATGTTTCAGATAACTTCTAAACAATTCAAAAGTCTTAGGCTACAGAACCGGAGCTCGGCAATGTACATGTCGAGCATGTGCAAACACCACCCATGGCACACTGCATGTGGCATGACAAAATAACAAAGAAGCTTGCTACCCTTTTCCAAGTCTCTATCCTCCTCTTATCTCAGACTCACAACTGACAATACTCTCTTTGTATTTTCCAATTCCTCTTGCTTGGAAAAAGAAAATGGTAGGTTGAGCCAGTTGAGTTGTAGCTCCATAGGAGCAACATCACTCCCCATCCTTGATATATGTTTTTTTTTTCAACAATGATATTGTATTTTTAATATAAGGTGCACAAAACATAATATTTCATAATATTTAGTTATTTATGCAATCAGAAATTATAATCTCTTTAAAAATGATTGAATATGACTTGAAAAATGTTAAAATGTTCAATTATCAAACACAAGTTCTAATTTTTATATTTTTGTTGGTAGTTTTTTTGGAAGAAAAAGAACAATTTTATCAATTGTGAAATTCTATAAAATAAAACTTGGAGTCATGTTCTTCGTGTAAAAAGATTAAAAAACAAAAATTTAGATATCAACAAACAAGACATTTATTGTCTAACTCTTTATGTTAGGTGACCAAACAACATTTTGGGCACATCCTTAAATCCCTATAACAACTCCTCACCTCCCATGTCCACAACAAACATCGATCCTAACATGTTAAGACTATTATTATGATTTATGAACAAGGCGGACCTAGGTAGCCTCTTTTTTCTTTTTCTTTTTTTCTTTTTGCATTTAATATTAATTTTATGAATATGTAAAAGATACAATGAACTTTAAAACACACAAGACGTATTTATTGTTGTGAGTTTGTCTACCACTTGCATCTTTTTATTAGGTTCGTCTAATTGTTTGGTAATAAATTGTGAAACAAGGCAGATTTGATATTACAATTGAATTCGAACTCATTCTATAACCAATTTACATTGAGCAAAAAAAAGTCATAAAATGTATTTTTTTCCAATATTAAATGAGGCTTAGTCACAAGTTACGGAAGAGAAACAAACTTATAACAAAATCATTCAAACATTCAATAAATAAATACATCTTCTAATATAGAATTTGAATAGATACATTCATTTTACATATAAATTTAGCTATTATTAATTGACCATAAAATATAATCATATTATACACATGAACATCATTCAACTTGCAAAAACAGTAACTTTTTATTTATTTGCCAACTCAAAACTCAATTCACAAGAAATCACGGGGAGTTTTCTGCCTTCTTCATGAATCCAATGTAGTCTATAAGCACAAAAATGTAAAATTTTGACTTATGGATATAAGCGTGTGTGTGTGTTGTAAAGAATGAATGAATATGTACACTCTTGAAATGATCTTTAGAACCACCATTACTCCATTAGCTTCGTTTAGAGCGAACCTAGTAGCGTTGATTCATGGCTATGGTGGTTACTTCCATCTTCCCAGAAGTATGACTTGTACTCTGTTGTACTACTGCTCATAACCATCTCTTCTTCTTCTTCGTCTTCAGGAGGCATGTTGAGATCAAGAAACCCTCGAGTTTCACAAAAGAGGTGATTGCGTTTCTTGATCACATTCGTGTTTTCTTTATTCATTTTAGCTTCGGAAATCAAGTGTGATCTTTTGTGGCCACCTAAAGCTTGGCCTGAAGAAAACATCTTTAAGCAAATTGGACACTCATGTGCTCCCAACACCACTTTTTTCTTCTTCAAACAACCAACACCAAGATCGAAACTTGATAATTCTTGATGACCTTTAGATGTTTTTGGATCAAACCCTTTGATTGTTTGATCGTGATCTAACACGGGTTTGTTTTCGTTTTGGATTTTCGAATCAAAATCTCCCTTTAGCTTGCTGTGACTTGCTTTATGCCCACCAAGTGCTTGATAAGAATGAAAACTCTTGTTGCAAGCAACACACTCGAACTTTCTCTTACTTGAATCCTCGAATTCACCAAAACCTGAATCCAATTTGTCATGTTTTATCGAACCTACCTCAGATCTTCCAAGAAAATCAAAACCAACTTGAGTTTCTGCTAATTTCTTCATCTTGGAACCATTACCAATCAAATCTTTACTCAAATTTACCAAAACAGAGGAATTATATTGATCGGTCGATTCAAGTTCATTTCCCCATTTCCCCAAATCTCTAGAAAGCATCATCAAAGATATAGCAACATCTGTTTCTGGTTCTTGTTGGATTTCGGACACCATACTTGTTGAAGCATTATTACTACTAATTTGATTACTATTAGCATTCAAAGAAATTGAAGATGACACTGTTGTGATTATTGCAGTTGCATTAGAAGCGACTATATACCTTTTGTTTCGTCTGTTTCTCGATCTCTTTATTTGACGATTTTTGGCATCTGAATTCTCATTATCTGAATAGCTAATCCAAGAATCTCGATTCAGACTTGCAATATTCTTGTTCTTGTTGTTTAAGAGTTTGATCGAGTGACATTTCATATGCCCAAACAAAGCCTTCCACGATTGAAACCCTTTTCCACATTCTTTACAGAGTTTATCGAGAACAGTCGAACAAGTTTTGTTCCCGACCTGATGATGATGATGATGGTGATCAGTGGAGCTGATTACATGAGACCTCATATGACCCCCCAAAGATCTTCCGCAAGGGAAGCTCTTGTTGCAGTATTTACACATGTGTTTCATCGATTCCTGATCAATCTCTTCCATTAAATTCTGATCGAATATACGAAATTCAGATCAAATTCAAGAACAGAGCCAAAACGAAAACTGTGAATTATATCGAGTAAGTAACAAGACCGAAAGCTCAGATCGGGAGTGCGTATTCAGAAATCAGAATCCTTCAAGATTGAAGTGAAAATCGAAGAACGAAGAACGCATCTGGCATTTCATGGTATTAATTCTTGATGAAGAAGATGATTGAAGGTAGCTAGTATGGAGTAGAAGGTATTTGGTTGGTTTGTTGAGAATGGAAGTTAAATAAAAGGGGGATGATGGGTCGGTTACCTTTGTTGCTAATGATGGCGAAGAAGAAGCAAAGAGAAATTAAAGGAAAGAAGTGGTTTACACTCACAGTCACACTCTGTTTCTCTCTCTCTCTCTCTCTAAAGATTCATGGGTTTCTTTCTCTCTAAAAGTATATGAGAGAGAGAGAGAGAGAGAGAGAGAGAGAAGAGAGAGAGAGCTAAATTTGGAGGACGATTGGAGAAATCCATGCATGGAAGCAAGGATAGAAAAGAAGGTAAAGCAAAGAAGGCCGCACGTGTACTCGGAGTAAGGATCCTAAGGCAGCAGAAAAACAACGGATGAGATTGCGCCACGTAGGTCATCTGTATGGAGTATGGTTGTGGAAGCAAGATCCTCTCCCTCCTGATTCTACCCCACATCTCCAGCTAAACTATTCTCCCTTGGAAGCACAAACCCCACTAGTCGTACTACCCATTAAAAACAAAATGAATATTTATTTATTGCACAATTTTTTTTTTTGAACGGCTATTCTACAATTTAATAAGTGATAAAACTATGACGGAGACGATTTTTTATTTTAATTTTATTATAAGAAATATAATTTTTAATTTTATTATAAAAAACATAGTATAAATTATGTAAAAATTAATATATTTTATGGTTTTTCGATTTAATCGTCTAAATAATTTTTTTTTTTTTGAATTTAGCCGTTAAAACTATATAAGCTTTATTTAGCAAGGTAAATGATTAAATTTTGAGTGATAAAAAAAAGTAGTCTTCAAGAATATGTAGGCTCTAAATGTGGAAATTGCTCAAATTATATAAGCTAAACAGTAAATTAATAAAATCTAATTTGGTTTGTAAAAAAAAATATACGTAATTTTTTTTGTGGAGATCCACAAATTCCATAAGCCTCTCTTGAAATATGATTGTTTGGAACAATGAAATTGAACAAAACGACGTTTTTAATTTCTTAGACCTCAACCACGATTTTTCGGGAGGGTGTGCGGAATTTATAGCTTAAAAAAACTCAAACTTTTTTATTAATTTTGAAAAAAAAAAAAAAAAAAAACCTTAGTGTTTTAGCTTATATATTTTTTTTAATGTTTTACTTTTTTTTTTCTTTTTTTTTTTTATAAAAGTTAACGATTTATGATATTAACATATTTCATAAAATAGGTTTAAGCCATTGTAAGGATATATCATCATTTCTAATAAATGAAAATAATTTTATCACATATCACTCTCTCATTAAATTGAACACATATCATTTTTTGGTATTTTTGAATAAATATTTTTTCTATTTGTTATTTTCTCTTTTTTTTTTTTAATTTTTTCTTAATTAACACATCATATTTACACCTTAATTAATAATTGCCTTAATTGAAAATAACAAATAATTACAATATTACTTATATAATATTTTTAATATGTTTCCTTTTAATCCAAATTTTAAAATCTAATTTCAAATCTAAAATTTTAAATTTAAATAAACTTCTGTTCAAACATTTATATTTAATTATTCTAACCCGTATAACATACGGATCTTACAACAAGTTGTAGATAATAACAGCCGGTTAATTTTAGTTTTTATTTATCGTAGAAGTATTTGGTAGAGTAATTATAAGTTTTAAAAATATATAAAATTATTTAAAATGACTATCAATAACAACCTAATAGTTTTATTATAATGAACATGAACTTTTACACTTTTGTTTAAAAACTATTCAAAGTTGTATTTTGATTAAAAACTTGCTGTTCTAAAAGAAAAGTTTTAAATTTATATTTTTAAACAAAACTTCTTTTTTCTATAATTCGAGTTATAAAAAAAATTAAAGTCTTCAAATTTCAACAAACATTTAAAAAGTGGTTTACAAGCATGAGGTAAAACTTTTAGAAGTGGTTGGCATAGTAGGATCCTTTTTTTGTCATTGGTGCAATTTTCCAAAAGGATTCAACTGATTTCACTATGCTACCAACTACTTTTTATTGTCCTTTTTTTCCAAAGTTCATAAAAGGGTCAAAACAAGATAAATTTTGTTGGATAAGGTTTGCAAAAAAGTATAGTCTTTTTAGTATATTCTTAAATTATGTATCTTAATCTCATATAAGCATTGTTTAACATAACATCCGTATTTTTGGTTAGGCAAAAAATATATTTTCGTCGCTTACAATCGTAATCTTATTATGAATTAATGAAAGAGAATTATTTGTATGTATATGTGTTATGTGTATATAAACATTTTTTAAATTTAATAAATATAACTAAAATAAAGGTCAGAAATAAAATATTATTTAGAACAAATAATTTAAAGCAAAAGTTGTGGTGGTCGTGATGGTGATTTTGTACATATAAAGAACACATAAATCTAACTTTATATAAAAAAGTTATGTTCGTTTGAAGTTTCACGTTCAACCCTATACGACAAAGTGCGTCGTAAATAGTGAATCAGAGATAGGATGCTTATTAACCTAAGTAATCTAAACGAAAGTCGTAGTAATAATAAAAGTGAACTCGCGCATATAAAGAACATCCAAATCTGACTTCGTATGGAGAAGTTGTGATTTTTCAAAGTTTCAGCATAACTGTGTCAACATAGAAATCGAAATTCAAATCGGTTGATTGTTAGCCAAAACAATCTAAACGAGAGTTCAAGATCTCATGAATAGGATTCTATCGATATAAAAACAGACGAGAACGAAATTTGTATGAAAGAGTTATGATTTTTATATGGATTTTAGCATTCTAAACCCTTTAAAAATATAAAATTAAAAACAAAGTGAGAATTAGCCGATATGCAGGGGCGAAAATGAAGCTCATATGAGAAAGATATCCACGGATATAAAGATCGTTGAAAACGAAGCTCGTATGAGAAAGAACGTCGAAAAAAAAACTCATATGAGAAATATACGACTTTTTGAAGATTTTCGAGAAGCACGGCGCGTAGGGGTAATGTGGCACACCCGAATTCCGACGCATGGCAGAAGACAGGAGGAATGACGTTGCCTTAAGAGCCCAATGCGCCTTGCCCAAATTTAGCTATAAATAATTGGCCATAATTCCTCATTTCCTCACACCTTCAACAATCACTCTCTGCATTTTCTCTAGAAAGTTAGCTCAAATTTCCAAAGATTTTTAGAAAGTTTTAGTGGAGCCCTGAATCGTCAAAGAGATAGAAGTTTTCAATTCGAAGTTCTGCTTGTGAATTTTTCGGTTTTCACTAGAAATGTATTTAAGTTAAGTTGACTTGGTTTACTTTAAGTGTGCATTATATTTAAGTTCATTATCGTTACTATGAACCTATAAAAAAGATTTATCAGTAATTCCATGCCATAATGCTGATTGATCTATGTACGTGGATGATGTCTAAGCTAGATTTAATAAGATTTTTAAAGTGAGATTTCCAAAAAAAATATACTTTGTATACCAAATAGACCCTACCTCCGATATGATCTTACCTAGTTGCTCCTTATCAGCTATAAATCACTATTCATTGGGACTGTTGATGAATCTAAATTATTGTCATTGTAGACACAATAATTACGAAATAAAGACTAGGACTTAGTGATATTTATACCTAGGTCTTTCAAAAGGAAAAGCTAAGGTGTTAGGCAGATCGCTACCTAAATCACCAATCATCCACTTTTAGCAAGTGGGTGCATAGTCATTTTCATCTTACACATATGTATGATGTATTTAGATAATTAAATGTTATGTGTGCCTATTATTTGTGTTCTGGTCTTCTGGATATATGTGCTAGTTGCAATAATATGATATGATTTTACTGTTATATTTATTTTATCATATTTAAACTATATCGGCTAGTGAAAGGGTTATGGGAAAATAAAATAATGGTAAAACTTAAGAGTGTGATATCTCCAAATTTACGGTCATTTTAAAATTTTTATTTATGTTTATTTAAAACGTTTGTTAATGCGGAATTAGTCCCAAATATGCTTGATATGACATGACATCAAATCAAGGCATCTCAGAAGAAATGTTTTTCATTTACATTTTCAAAACTTGAGATTTCATAACTGATACAAGAAACATAAGAAAAAACAAAGACTTACTACGTTTCATTACACTAATTGTTTACATCTCCTTGCATCTCTAGGCAGATATATACATCACTAGTTTATAACCCGTAGAAACTACAGTTACAAAATTAATTAATTTTTTATGGTAAAAACTCAAAATTATTAATTAATTATTTTAAATAAATTATTAATTAAGAGATTTTTTTAGTTATATAAATTTTAATCATTGATTCAAATAGATATGTGAAATTATATCATTTTATAATTTGTACTTATTTTATTTTAATTTTTATTTTAATGTTTTTAATTTAATGTAATTAAAGTGGAAAATTTGAAATCTGAAATGGAATTGACAAGTAGCATGCATTAATTAGGAGACATAATAGGATGACACATGAAAAAAAAAAGGAATAAAATATGCATTAATTAGGAGGCCTAATAGGATGACACGTGTCAAAAGGAGAATAAAATTATTCTTTTATTAGAATAAGGATTATCCATATATAATTATATGTGATGCAAAGAAACAAAGTGGGATACATAGGGTTTTCAACCTATAATATTATAATCTTTAATTATATATTTTTTGGCTTTCAAATAAACCAATTACCCCACTCCCGTTATTCTCACTTACTAATCCTAATATGTTGATCTCGAGGGATCTCTCTTAAAGGACCTTTATCAACAGTTAGCTATAATTC